GCATTTTTGCATCAAAGACTCTTGACATTAAAACGTGTAGTTTTCCTAAAACACAAATTTGCCGCCTGTGTGCTTAAACTCCAGGCCCCAGTCGTTCAAAAGGTGAATAAATCTCTATCCAACGGATAGTGCAGTTGGTGTCCCTAATACTTTATGTCCTTTGGATAACGGCTTTTCCGGTGGATAAACAGCTGAAGCCAGTTTCCCAGAGTTAAACTGGATTGTTTTCACCAGAAAGCGCAGGAGTTTTGGTGGCTAGCGCAGTTACGAAATATTTTAGCCGCGAAGCTAGAAAACAATATTATATTTTCTGGCTTTATAGCATGTTGATATAAACAGACACGGGCGACACCCTTTTATGGGTCAAAAGATTTCTATGATTTAGGTCACAATCAAAATAACGCGGTTTCGGAATATTGCTTGTTTACCATTCCTTAAAGATTTTGGGACAGTTAACCACAGGTTAATAAAATTCCCTGGAGGCGTTAAAACATGAAAGACTTTTGATGCTTTCCGACAGCGTTTTATACTGTGTGTTGAAAAGTTGATCACGCAAATAGAAATCTGGATTGCTTTGACAGAAACAGGCAAACGATGCACCCTCAGCAACAGGGCACCCAGGCTATCTTAAGGATTATTAGCATGGCTGAATCCGCGATCCGGCAATATGACGCGAAACCTCTGTACTGACTGGCTACTCGACTGAGCCTGAAAGATGTGCCCATCTTGCCTTTCGACATTTTCCGCCTTGGTCCAGCAAGAAAACGATATCTTTTTGGCCATGAAATAAATCCTTTATTGACTCAGCTTGTTCGGTCAAGATGGCTGGATATTGGCCTCCTCATTCTTTTTTGCGTTGTTATTATCGTCTTTTCTGATTCGTGAATGCGCAAACAAGAACTTGATCAATATCCAGCCTTCTTGATCTCACGCTTCGTTAATAACATATATCAAGAGCCTGTGCGTAATTCAAAGAAGTTCGAGCCCCCTGAGGCGTAACAAAACAAAACCGGCTCTAAGAGTTAGTTAGTATGTCCAAGATTAAACGTTTTTTTTTTTTGGCTGAATTCTTAGTCATTTTTATACTTCTTCAAATTTGATCAAATTACAAGTATTTTGATGATCTTCTATTCGTTAGGACACTTTGTGATGGCTATCAAAAGGATAGTGCATCTCATTAGGGTTCGATTCTGGATATACAGTAACCTGCCGCTTATATAGCGCCCCACCCCGCACCCCCACTAGTTATGGGCTAATCAACCCGTAAACAAAAAAATACATCTGATCATAATCCCCACCCCCCAAATGTATTGAAATGAATTCGATTTATTCTGACCTTTTGACGCTTAATTAAAAAACCAGTAAATGCAAAATTATTTTGATCTGTACTGCTAGAGCTTGCTTCGAAGCGCTTTTCTATTCCGGTTATAAGCTCCCTCGGATATAAGCCCCTCCGTTTGAGCCCTCCATAAACCCCTTACGAAGATGTATAAGCCCCCCTGGGATATAAGCCCCCCCATTTATGCGCCCTCCTAAAACCCCTTACAAAGATGTTTCAGCGGCAGTTTACGATCAGTAAACACCAAAAGGGAAAATTGATGCAAGTATGAAAGCAGGAGATGAAAGACAAGTTATGAAGTTACTTGGCTCTCTGTGCCAAGTTGCAGTGGGTTTAATCAAATGGCACATAAATTAAGTTTTTTTATTTCTTAATATGGCCAAATAATTGGAAGCAGTCCGCCGAGTGACGTCGCTGATAAGACCGTTGCATACAAAAACTATGACCACTACATCCGGACTTTATGGTTGAAGCACTTGAGAAGATATAACATACAGTGAAGGGAAAGCAGAGCACGGAAGCTTAAAATACGTTAAAAGGGGATCGCACTTTCCATAAGCCAGGATTGCTTCCAAGTTCATAGCCGAGAACAATCGTTTACAGCATTTTTAATACAGGAAAGTGCTGCTTGGTGGCGAGTTGGCTGGCGGCGAGTCGTTTCCTTGGTGGCGAGATGGTTTGGTGGTGAGAGATGACCGGTTGATTCACATTTTCACCCTGGACTACGAGTCCCCCATTTTTCCTCAGGGGGAGTAGAGCGAGCGAAACGCGAGCGCGCGTTAAAATCACCCCACGCGAGAAAAGGCGACAGTAGGCGTGGGGTGATTTTAACGCGCGCTCGCGTTTCGCTCGCTCTACTATCCCTGAGGAAAAATGGGGGACTACTCGTAGTCTATTTTCACCCCGTTTATTGCCTTTTTCCCCCACTGCGGAGCCTGGTTCAAGGCTATCCTAAAAAGGGACACAGCACCCATATAAGTAAATTGCACTTTCATAGGCTCTAAGTTAAAACAAAATCACGGCAAAAACAAAACTTCAATTCACTAGAAACACTTTGGCGAGCGGAATAACGCATTTTCAACCAAATGTTAATCCTTCTTGGACCTTTTCCCCGTCGGTTAGCATTGATAAAAATGACCAAAGACATTTCCAACATTAAAGGCGTATTTTCGTGACGTTTGGATGCAGAAAAAGGTGTTTCCTACTAGCATATTCCAATGCTTAATGTCCCTTAATGACATGGTCAGCAAGTCGACTTGACAAAGGACATGACTGTTCTTTTTCATAACGGTTTTCTTTTATTATTTTGTTTATCGCCTTGCCGATCGGCTCCTGTTTTAATACAGTGGTTGCCGGGAAAATCCACACCCTTTGCTTGTAAGGACACCGGACGGTCACCATTACCTGTTGGGGAACCCCAAGTGGAATTTCCCCAAGGGTGGGGAGGGATTGTATATAAAAGTATAGGAAGTTTTGGATATTATGTTGGCCAAAACTCCATTTAGGTAAAATGGCCAAAATTGCCTTAGTAGCTGCAATTTATTAGTCTTGATCATAGTTACAGTCCACCTACTGTGAAACGTTACAATAAGTATCATATTTTAATATACATTGAGAACTAATCAATTATACAATAAATAATATTTATTCTGACAATATCACAACATCACGATCACTGAAACCATGACACAGTCAACTTATGACAACGGCAAAGCTCATTATGGTTAAAATAAGGAATATGATAATTTTATTATGGACAATATCAGGTAGCTACAGGTGACATAGGCTGCGAGCAAGCTCTCCATTTGGGCGAGTTCCAAGAAGTCACAGAAGAGCAGCACAAGAAGGGAGATGTGAGTGCAAGGTGAGTTCTCTCCCCGCCCTCTTCAGCCACCATACATAGAGAGCTTGCTGGCAGGCTACATGCAACAAGATTTTCTACACTCAACTTACAAAAAGGTTTAAAATCGACTTTCATATTTCAGCAAAACTAGCAAATTGTTTAGGTGATGGGGCTGGGGGTTGGGGTTGGGGGTGGTTTCATCATACTGAACACTGTGGCACTACATACTTAATGTAAGTTCAACACAATACCTGGAGATAAATGAGTCACCTCCTCCCTTACACTTACCCTCCACCCCCCCAAAAACATCATCATTACCAGTTATTTGATGAGTGTTTAACATCTGGGGGGGGGGGGAGGGGCTCCACCAAGATAGTTACACGGCTACTCTGGTAATGTAACACGCAGCATTACATGCCAAACAGGTGATTCTGGGCCTCCCTTGTCACAGTTGTTCCAGCACCTGATTAATACTAATCCATGACTAAGTATGAAATTAATCTTCTCATGTCTCAACTCAACTTTTTGGCCCAGACTTTTTTTAAAATATGTGCATGGAATATTTTTTTGCAGAGGTCCTTTTGCCAAAGGTTTAAGAGAGATTAAGAATCATGTTTATGAATAATTTAAGGAAAAAATCAGATTCAAATGACATTTTCTTACATTTAGAAAAGGGAAGATAGAAACTGTCCAAAATCACTCACATTGATGAACTTGGCATTCTGTGTAGATGTAATGAACACTAAATGACAAGAAAATGAGAGCCTTGTCATGAGGTTCAAACTGCTGTAAACATGATTCCAATAAATTATTGCAAACTTGAGAGTAAGGTGCCCTGGGCAAAATCCTTTATTATTAGTTGCAGTCCTTAAAGCCAACAAAAATACCTTTACAATTTATTATTTAAGAGGCTAAACAATCCTGGTTGTTCAGTTATAGTTGTATAATGGGGCAAGAGGACACAAGAGTGGTACAACAGCTTTCTACAGACCAGCTGTGTCACTGAATGACCTGCATTCAGTGAAAAAAAAAAAAAAGAGCAGCTGCACCATTGCATCATGAGAGGAGAAATTGTTACATCACATTGCCATAATAGCAAAATTTATCGATCTCAACAAACCAAGGCCCCCCAAATATGGTAGAAAAAACAAGCAAACAAACCAAAAATTGTCATGTTCAAGGTATGACTTTCCTTTGCATGATATTTACTTTTCTTCCATCATTTGACAATTCAAGTGGCTGTCTCTGTCAAGAAAGATTGTTGAGATTCAGAAATTTTGCGTCCATGTTAATGTGATGTCACACTTATACTCTCTATTTCATGACGCAGGAATTGCGATCCTCCAAATTCAGCTGAAAATTGCCCTCTTAGTCGAAGTTAATAATGTACAGTGTTTCTATGAATGAATGACGCTGCTCGTCAAAAAGATAGGCCAACAGAGCGTTAAAAGTTACACAAGGATGTTTTCAAGATCCATTAAAATCCTTAAGTGACTTTTTATTTACACTTCCCTTACCATAATTCAACTAACCTGCGACAAGGGCAGAACTGTAAGGTAGAGGGAGGTGGAAATGATTTACGGTATGATCTTTCATTGACAAATAGTGTCAAATTGAAAACCGAAGGACACATTGCGCTTTAGTCTGACATTTCATGACAGGCAAATCTACCTTTCTTTCCAAGAATCAGAGAGAACTTCATTCTTTTAATAATAATTATTATAGTGTAGCTCATAATCATCCATTTATGGTTTTTGCTTCATAGACCTCCTATTAACTGTGATCCTGTTAGCTTTGATATATCTGTTATTTTCGAGATTAGTATTTGTTTAGGCCAAAGAGTCTAACTTTGTACATCTGTGGAAACTTGGGTACCAAGGAGAGTCCAAGAAGTGACAGTGCATTGAAAACAAAATGAATTCCATCATATTTAGTGTAGAAACTTGTCACCATAAACCTGAAAATTATGCAAACAAACAAAAGTTGAGTTCCATGGAGGAGTACCAATGAACAAGCTATAATTTATTACAACACACTACTTCTTCTGCAAGAATAAAAATACCAGGGCAAGTTAATGTATCCATAATAACTATCGATAATTAATATTAAACTAGTGTACCTAATAGATAAAAGCTGCCTTGGTGTCAATGAAACGTTTTTATTGAAAATTGTGTATCGAAAGAGACATAAACAATAATTACAATGTACTTTTCGATTTTACTAATGGACCTCAGATTTGAGGCATGTGCAATATCACTCTTTTATTTTGTGATGTCACAATCAAAGATCTGTTCTACGCATCCCATCACACTGCATGGTGTTCCACACTGTAAGTTTTGTTGGTCGATGGTTCAAAGAAGTTTATAGATATAGTAATCTTTCAGGCTGTTTTGATTGTTCATATTGGACATGGTGGTTGCAATAAAATAGACCAAATTTTAATGTGAAGGATGAGTTTTTAAGAGGAGAACAACGCCTTTTAAAAGGCAACAAAACATTAATGAAACAACATTTTTCAATCAAAAGAAATTTCCAACTGGACTGAAGCGTTCCATTTACATTTCCAACAAAATTGGATCATTTATTTCTCTGATAATATCTTACTATACAATGAAGAAAAGATATAAACAGTTACCAGAAGCTGCTGTAAAGGTTGTGAAAATGCTCTATGATAACACAATGTAAAAGAAAAATTCATCACAAAGAGGATTCAACCAACCTCAACCAACTTCATGCACCAAAGTTTGGTATATAAAGGTAATGGGCGTGCAAGAAATTGTGGTAATAAACTGTTGCATTGTGGTTAAGAAATTCACATGCATCGTGGGTAGAAATTTAAATTTTTTTCTTTGTGATGGATTATGTCTGTTGCCTTGCTTACTTGCTTCGGGCTTGCCCGTGCGGCAGCAATAATTATTACTGACTATAAAAGGAAGGGGAGAGGAATGGTTTTGACATTACTACATTGCTACAAGGAATCCTTCCGTGTTTTTGAAAACTACTGAGTGGCACATGCGGTGGGTGTTTATCACCCTTTACATTCTCACACTCACATAAACAGATATAATCCTACACTGTGACAGATGATTGTATGTAAAAAAGCAAAACAAAGTACAGAGTGATAAAGGGGAATGGCTTTGAAGTGATTTGCAAAAGAATCATTGCTATTATTTCAACACATTTTTGTTGTACTTAATTAACTTGCCACAGACATCTAAAGTAGGACACACTACTGCCAAAGCTGGGCAGCCACTTTATCCCAATTCTGATAAAATAGTCAAATCACAATAACAAACTCTACAATAATATTATTATTTAGATATATAAGGAAAGGTTTTCAAGAAACAGGAAGCTCTTTTAGCAAGATTGGTATAGAAACTTACAGGAAGATAGGCACAAGTGTGAAGAACTTTCTTGTTTCTGTAAATTGTTCGCCATGGTTGAGCTGTTCCCAGTGAGTAAGTCTTCTCGCCTTGCCTTGATCCGCTGTCTGAAATGGTGTTCCTTTCAGGTAATGAAGAAAAATAAACATGCTCTGCAAAAAAGAGCAGGAGATTATGTGAAAATTTTGATTCACATGTAATCAATAAATCATTCCTTTGTCCACTCCTGAAAATAACTCCAGAGCCTGAGGTCTATATAAAGTGGACCAGCTTCAGATTTTTTCACCTTCTGAATACCCATCCTGTCTGTAGCCTGCGAATACAGCTGTTTCTCCTAACTCCTCACTGCCAGGAACGTTTCACCAGGAGGAATTTCTGTGACTCAGCGACAGAAACTCCATACTGATGACGTAAAATCTGCCTGGAAACTTGTCAGGAGCTCTGATTGGTCAACTTAGTAGTTATTTTGTTTTACCTATTGTTTACAAATGAAAGACAAAAGACAAAATGTCACAAAGTTCAAATGTAAATGTGATGAATCTATCTGAATATTCAAAGAATATATTCCTAGAATATATTCTTCTTTAGAAAAAGCATCTGAGTTTCACTGGAGCTTGTTCGTGAAAGATCACAAAACTTTACCATAATCAACCAGAAGAAACATAAAATCAAAAAAATTTACATTAGAAACCCCATGACTACCAGATTTATTATGTAAACATTGTTTTACATCATCAGTATGGAATTTCTGTTGCTGAGTTGCAGACGATCCTCCCGGTGAAAAGACCTTAGCAACGAGGAGCAAGGAGAAACGGCTGTATTTGCAGGCTATCCTGTCTCCTATGTCAATGACTATAGGCCTAAAGACAATAGCCTTTTTACTGATCTTTAACATATATATATGAATAGAAGAATATCTTTCATTCATTTTTCACTTTTTTCAGTTGGTTTCACAAAGTTATGTGCAACACCTTTGTTGTAGGTGGAATTCAATGTCAGCTTAAACCAGTCTTGAACCTAGTTTACTAGGGATAAAACCCCAGCAGAGAGCTGAGCTTAATTTAAGTTGTGCGTCTTGAATTAACTAGGACACAAGGAAAATTACCAATCTAACAAATTTTGATCACCTTTTCTAATGGCTAAATAAAATTGGTTTCAAAAATAATTTCCCCATCTTGAAGCTTTTTGCTTGAACTCATTTTTAAGTTTTTGGAAGTCATTAGAGACCTGAGTAGCCAACATAATGTGCGTCACGCAGTTCAGATAAAAATTATGTAATGCAGACCTACAATACTCGGCTTAATTGTGACCCTCCACGGGAAAACGTACACTAACGAACTTCCGTTAAACGTTAGAAAACTAACGGATACTTAACGGATTGCAAATGGCTCTGAAGTCATTCTAATGCTTTGTACTAACGTTCTAACGCTCGGCCCTGGCCTTCTAACGGTTTGTCTTAACGCTCTAACGGGTTGTCCTAACGGTCCAACGGTCTGCTCTAATGCTCCAACGGTTTACGTTAACGTTCTAACGGTTTATACTAAAGTTCTAGTGACTGATCACCACTAAAGTCTTAATTCTATAAAATAAACGGATCATAAGTTGTGAATGATGTATAAT